GTCACTTTGCACTTTGTACTCATTTACAGGAGTACACAAACCTAGAGCGCCCTCTCACGGCTGTCAGTGTGAACATTTTAACATACAAGTCACACCTGAGTATAAGTCACAAACCATGAAAAAAAGTGCAACTTATAGTCCGAAAAAAACGATATGTAGTTTTCAAGTTAACAGCTCTTTTTACCTTTAGTTCAGTAGAGATTGGCAATTTCAAGGCTGAAATGATCCAAAGACTTCCTGTGAAGGTGTATGGAGTTTAAAACACAAAACACAGTGGAGCACTTACTGTATTACCACATGACATCACATCACAGAGAAGAGCTCAGTATAAATATGCAGGGTGTGTGTGTTAAACATGTGTGAATGAAACAAAACACAAGTCCAGTGTTTGGGATGAGACACATTATAACACCGATCAGAAAATAATATAGGCCGTCCAAGTGAACAAACTCAGTGAAAATAACTGTTGTTGTTATCAAATGTTGTGAGTCTAGTGGCAGCATCACAAACAAGCTTCATCCAACTCACCTTTAGTCACATAGAGACTATCTGTGAGCGGATCAGATCAGAGCTTCCACACAAATGTTTAGGTTGGAGAGAAACTCATTTGAAGGCAATAAAAAGAAACTGGACTGACAGAAACTGCACACTTTTTTATAATGACACAGTGAGGAGACATACAGGCTTTTTAGCTTGTGCAGAATATGTCATTTTCAGGCCTGACGACTGCGAATAGAGCTGCACGCCGCGGAGAGAGTTCACTTTTTAATGAGGAAGTAGGAAGTATTTGTACACAGTTAATGTCATACCTTGAGTGGAGACGCCAGAGTCTGTGGCTGTGGTTTAAATGAGAATAACAAAACAGATTTGTAGCAGCATGACAACATAATCATACCGAATTAGTCTGGAGTAATTTCCGCTTTAAATCATTTGCAACTTTGAAAGCTTTCTTATTATTGCATTTGGTTTTACCCCAGATGCCCTCACAGCAACAAATTTTTCATTTATCCTGACTAAAACCAATACAAACACAGCAGGATGCGGAGCTGCAGATGGCCCATTTCCAGCCCTGTTTTTGTTGTTTAACTGTTACAATGATAAATAAACGCACTCTACTTTTCTATTAGTAGTTGTACCTTATAGCTTTTCGCCTGGAGACATTTAAAGCTTGGGTCCCATTTTTATTCTTGCAAATTGTGTGAATTTGTTTTGTCTCGTCAAAGCAGTACTTGACAAAAAGAGACGGATGCTCGCTGTTTGGATCTAATAATAGGTGACTTAAACACGAGTTAGAATGTAAATATATACTTTCACTTTCGCTGTTTGAAAACCAGGTACCTCAGAAATGTTCAATGACCCGTATTACGCTATTTTCTGATCTCTGTTATAATGTTGTTTCCTCGTCAAAAACGTACCTGGAGTTTCATTTCATCCACAAATCCTGCATATTTAGGCCGAGTTCTTTTCTTAAACAAAAAACACTTTGTCCCACTATTTCAGTCCTGGAATTGCCAATCTCTGCTGAATTTAACGTGAAAGGTAGCTCTGTTAACTTGAAATCTACCACCACATGACGTCACAAGGTAGAACAGAACATTTTGAGCTTTGGAGATGTAGCCAGACAAATAATAAAGAGTTGCTCAAACATGCATGAATGAAACAAAACTCCAGGTATGTTTTTGAAGAGGTGACAGCATTATAACATGGCATAAAGCTCACAAGAGTCAAGTTTGTGCAAGATAGGACCTTTAAACTGTTACAATGATAAATAAACCCACTCTAAACCACTTTTCTATTAGTAGTTGTACCTTATAGCTTTTTGCTTGTAGACATTTAAAGCTTTGGAACCCATTTTTATTCTTGCAAATTGTGAATTTGTTTCCCCAGAGAGTGTCTTGTCAAAGCAGTACTTGACGAAAAAAAGAGACGCCTGTTCGCTGTCTGGATCTAATAATAAAGCATTTTATCTTTGTAAACCTGTAAATAAAGACATATTCGCACAGGATTCGTTTTACTTTAAATTGTAATCATTCCAAAAGTCTTATGTGTTTCCACACCCGTACGAATTGTCCATATCTTTAAAAATGTCCCAAAAAATTATGAGCGTTGAAGCGAATAGTGATTGAACATGTCTGAACTGTTCATTTTAGGTCCAGATACAAATTAAATCAGCAATGTTTATTCTTCACAGACTATGCTCTAATCCCGTTATTGTTTTTTTTTTTTTAACCCTATGTGCTGTCAATCATTATTTCATCTTGGCACTGTTTCTCCTCATACGACCTCGAGTATACAGCTGAGATATATTTCTTAGTATATTTCTATATTTTATTTCTACTTGTATATATATATATTCAGATAATTATGCCTTACTTGACCCTAGTCTCTTGGTGCTTTTTGTACTTATTTCAAATGTATTATTACCATTTATATTTTAGCTCTTTTTTATTAGAATATTTTGTGATGTATGAGCTGCTGTGTCCAAATAATTTCCGTTGTGGATCAATAGTTTGTCTAAGTCCAAAAAACGTAAAACAAACTGCGATAAAAATGCGACCAGGAAGCTTTTGACAAGACAAGACAGTAAACAGCACTGGGATTGACTTGACATGAGTTAGAATGTAAATACTTCATAATTACAATTACCGTCTTAAACTGAAAACCCAGGTACTCCAGCTTTTCTATTCATGGGTTTCAGTCTCCTCTAAAGGTGCCATTTTGAGGACTTTGAACCACTTAAAAAATTAGGATATATTGTTTTGAATTGTTTATTTCTATGACAACAGTGCTAAATTTTAATCACTCTAAAATTCATGGATAAGAACATAATTTTCGAGTCCAATACTTTTCAGTGCAGTCAGAAATAAAAGGGTTGTGCTGTTACTGTATTTGCTAAATGTCTCTCTCTGCTCTTAACCCCCATTTCACAAATCTTAAATACATGAATGACTAAAAAGTACATGATATTTAGGCTGAGTTCTTTCTCTCCAACAGAAAACACCTTGATGTCATGTGGTAATACAAGAAGAGCTCCATTGTGTTTTTAAGCTGCATACACTGGAACTGGAACTGTGGTTCGGACCGGTGGCGTACGGGAGGAGGCATGGTTTACGCAGTGTATGCAAGAAGATGCAGCACATGAGAGGAGGCGGGAGGAGTCCTGGTTTTAGACCTAGTTTAGTTTTTGGTTTTTAGTTTGGTTTTAGTTTAGACCTGTTTTAGACCTGGTTTAGTCCTGGTTTTAGTTCTGGTTTAGAGTCACGGCCCATGCGGCGTACGCAAGAAGACGGGGAGCATGAAAGGAGGGGGAGAAATCCTGGTTTTAGACCTAGTTTTGTTCTGGTTTAGACCTGGTTTAGACATGGTTTAGTCCTGTTTTAATTTTGGTTAAGTTCTGGTTTAGTCCTGGTTTTATTCCTGGTTTAGTCCTGGTTTTAGTTCTGGTTTAGTCCTGGTTTTAGTCCTGGTTTAGTCCTGGTTTTAGTCCTGGTTTAGTCCTGGTTTAAGGGCGTGGTCCATGCGGCGTACGGGAGGAGCTTCACGGCCCCCTTGACCGATCGCAGCCCTGGAAAACAGCAAAAGATTAAAGGTAGCTGTTAACTTGAAAACTTCTGCTTCGTGACATCACAAAGTGGAACAGAACATTTTGATCTTTGGAGACGTAGACAGATTAATAATAAAGGATTACTCAGATAGTAGTGAATGAAACAAAACACAAATCCAGGCATGTTTTCCAGGAGGTACCAACATTAGAACGTGGCTAAAAATTCACAAGAATAAATTTTGCTTTAAATCACACTAGTACCTCACATTTTCACCAATGCACTGTATAGTTCATAAAACCACGATTCAAAAACTGAACTCTTTTATTTTATTTTAGACAACTGAATTCACTGGCAGTATTGAAGATGACACATTCCTCAATAGGAGCTTAAACCAACACTTTATATATAATTCCTGTGGTCCACAAAAACAGCTGCATTTTACAGTACATTTGAAAATCCATCTCTATCTCCAACAAACTTGAAGTATCCTTGTAGTTTCTCTGTCCATTCGATAATATATTCACTTAAAATGGCAAAATGTGATTGGCCATAAGCTTCCTTCCATAGATTATCTGTTCCCACTGAGTCCACATATAGTTAAAAATATAAACTTGTCTTTATATCGCCACCAAATTCACATAGCAATTTTGTACATTTCTTAACAAACTGGTCACTCTCTCACACTTAAAGCTCAACAAAGAAAACGTGAAGAGTCCCTTAGCAAAGTGAGGTATCCAATATTAGTGACTTCAGGAAATTAGGTCCGAGTCTTTCAAAATAAAAGCAACATTTAAGAATTATTTTGAATTAAACATTTATTCTTATATATATAGGTTTTAAAAGGAACTCTTCATTGCAACTTAAAACACGACATACACTCAAAGAAGTATCGGTGACTGTGCTTCCATCTAAATTGTGCATTTATAATTTTGTAAGAAAAAATGTAAGGGAAAAAATAGCGTAGAAATAAAAGGAGTCGTAAGCCGCGTGGACAAAACACAGATAAAATCGCGAGGGAGATCTCAGCACAGTTCATATCTTCATTGTACAGTTTTGTATTTGACACTAAGGAATGTTCGCCGACAAAAATAATATTTTTTTTGTTGCTTTTAAGGATTTTTTTTCGTTATTGACAGAGTCACAGGCACTGTTCCTTCAGTGTCTTATCTGTACACATTACAAATCCACTGGTTCTTAGATGTTTTGGAAAAGTTTGGGTAGCGTATGAAGCAGGAAATGGGCGGGTACTACTTCCTGTTTAGTTCCTTGTTTTGGTGATGTGCGTTGTCATTGGCTGGGAGTGGAGCCCCGTCGGTGGATGGGAGAAGGTGATGGTGCAGAGGGAGATGGCGAAACACACTTGGTTCATACAAATGGCTCCAGTTTGGTTGAGTGTCTCTGCCCTTCCTCCATCTGGTTTAGAGTTCTGCTCAGAGGAGGGAGTGGGTTGGGCTCTTATTGGTGGGACAGTAGCAGCAGTAGCAGAGGAAGGAGGAGCCAGCCCAGAGCCCCGCCCACGTGAAGAGGTGCTGCGCCGTGTTCAGACAGTCCAGGAGAGGGCAGAGTCGAGTCCTCTTCATCACCCCACAATCTGTCGTTTTCGTTTACCTACAAGAAATAACAGAAATATCCATTAAGTATCATTTTTTATGTTACATCTATTTTACATAGGTACAACACATAACTTTAAGGAGAAGGAAGACTTATAACTCTAATTAAACGATTAAATGAACCTCCAGGCATCATTTGTTTACTTAATCATATGCAAAGTTTTAGTAAGGGAATTAGTGCTGCTCTATGAGGCATCAGTCAAACAGGTTGCTGTTCCAATCCACTGTGTCCATGGGCAGAGGTGAGGACTTGAGGGTCGTGACTTGGACCCAAGTCAGACTTGAATCACTATTTTTAGGACTTGAGACTTGACTTGATAAAATGGATTAAGACTTGGGACTTGACTTGGACTTGAACATCAATGACTTGGGACTTGACTTGGACTTGAGGCCTGTGACTTGAGAAGACTTGATGCTTCTCCTAAATATATATCTATATGTTTTAAAAAATATGTTTTTCTTTTTTCAACTGATGCAGTGATGCAGCGCTGAATTTTACAAGAACAATCTGGAACATGTCCCTCTTACTTCTCTACGTGTTACTATGGCAACAGTAACTGAAGTACTGTGAGATGGTGTCATCAAATATCTTACAGTAATATACAGAACAATACAGTAAAACAGAGGAAACTACATAGAACACGATCGTTCCATTTCAGTGCAGACTACACAACAAACTATGCTATTAAAATCTGAATTCTTTCTGTTCTGACTGTAATGATTCACACTTAGATCTTGTCAAGACATCTAAAAAAATGCATTTCTACAACTCTTATATAAATACTCATGTACAAATATACCATGACTTTTTAAGTACAATTTAGCTTAAAAGTCATATAAATTGCAAAAATCTTAACCAAAGTACCAAATATACTGTATCCTAAAGACCTGAAATGACTTGAAGCTCAAAACAGATGACTTGGACTTGACTTGGACTTATGAGCCAGTGACTCAAGACTTGGACTTGCCTCGGACTTGAGGTCAAAGACTTGAGAAACTCACAAAACAACAACCTCTGTCCATGGGCAATGCACTTCAGGCTGTTCTGTGAATGTGTGACTGTTTAGTGTGGCTAAAAAGTGAAGTGAGATCAACTTTTGAGATTAAAATGAGAATCCAAGTCTCAGTGAAAGTATCCTGTTAAAATAGATTCATTTGTGTGGTCAAACCTCCTTGTCAAGCCTGATCCCATCAGAGTTCAGAAGCTGAGCAGGGCTGGGCCTAGTTAGTACTTAGATGGGAAACCGCTGGGAGTAGCAAAAACTGTGTTTGTGTCCTTAGGCAAGACACTTCAGCCACATTGCTGATGGTGCAGATTGGCAGCCTCGCTTCTGTGAGTCTACCCTAGGCCAGCTGTGAGTGTAATAGCATCTTACCACCACCCAGTGTGGAGTGAATAATGCATACAACTGGAGCATATGGAAAGTACTATATATGACTAATGCAATGCCATAAATACTGTGATTTTTTATTTCTGACCATACAGGATGCAATACAAATGTACTTAAAGTGCCTGTCCCCACCTCAGGCAAACTCTGCACTTCCAATCTAAAGTCACATCTTTCATACGGCTCGTGCTCCCTTCTTCATTGTAACTTGGTCCAGTCTCAGCTCTGTCCCGTCTTAAATAACTCTCCATCACAAACACTGAGCACAGCCTGCTCCTGTTTGAATACTGCACACTTTTCTTTATGAATGTGTGTGTGGTGATTGATCAGACAGTGCTGTGGAAGTGACAGTGTGTTGAGGACAGTGTGTCAGAGTGGAGCTCAGAGGCAGCTGTCTCCACATCATTTACTGCTTTAATTCACTTTGACTGAAAAATCACTTAACCCACTCGATTAGGGCTGCAATCAGGTACAGCTTATTTCCACTCGTCATTTATGTTTGTTTATGTTGTTATGATATCATTTTCTTTTACTACACTCTCATTATGTGTCTTTTCTGGAGGGCATCCACTACGGCTTGTCTCCTTGGAGATGTTATTGCTTTACCTGGAATAATCCACAGTACGACATTAAACTTGTCTACATAACATTTATTTATTGTGCTTTTTGTATTGTTGTGGTTGGCAATGATGAACCTGTAGTTTTTAGAGTGATAAAAAGTAGTAGTAGAAGTAGTAGTAGTAGTAGAAGTAGTAGAAGTAGTAGTAGTAGTAGCAGCAGCAGCAGCAGCAGCAGTAGTAGTAGTAGTAGTAATAGTAGTAGTAGTTAGTAGTAGCATTAGTAGCAGCTGTAGTAGTAGCAACAGTAGTAGTAGTAGCAGTAGTAGTAGTAGCAGCAGCAGCAGCAGTAGTAGTAGTAGTAAAGTAGTAACAGTAGTAGTAGTAGTAGTAGTAGTAGTAGTAACAGTAGTAGTAGTAATAGTAGTAGTAGTAGTAGCAGTAATAATAACAGCAGCAGTAGTAGTAGTAGTAGTAGTAGTAGTAGTAACAGCAGTAGCAGTAGAAGAGTAGTAGTTGTATTGTTGTGGTTGGCAATGATGAACAACAGTAACAGCAGTAGCAGTAGTAGTAGCAGTAGTAGTAGTAGTAGTAGTAGTAGTAGTAGTAGTAGTAGTAGTAGTAGTAGTAGTAGTAGTACAGTAGTAGTAACAGTAGTAGTAGTAGTATAGTAGTAGTAGCAGAGTAGTAGTAGTAGTAGTAGTAGTAGTAGCAGTAGTAGTAACAGTAGTACCAGTAGTAGTAGTAGAAGTAGTAGTAATAGTAGTAACAGTAGTACCAGTAGTAGTAGTAGTAGTAGCAGTAGTAGTAGTAGCAGCAGCAGTAGTAGTAGTAGTAGTAGCAGTAGTAGTAACAGTAGTACCAGTAGTAGTAGTAGTAGTAGCAGCAGCAGTAGTAGTAGTAGTAGTAGTAGCAGTAGTAGTAACAGTAGTACCAGTAGTAGTAGTAGTAGTAGCAGCAGCAGTAGTAGTAGTAGTAGTAGCAGTAGTAGTAACAGTAGTACCAGTAGTAGTAGTAGTAGTAACAGTAGTAACAGTAGTAGTATTACTGTAGTATTAGTAGAATCTAGTACTGTGAGTGTTTGTGTACATTCATTTCGATGTGCTTGGTTTCATTAGACATGATCGTGTATAATTTTACTATCAGCGTTTTCTCTCCATATTTCATCGAAGGGAAAAGCAATTCATCTCCTCTGCTCCCTGACAACTACTAACTGTATGTCCTCTTTTACTACATTCATAAATTTCCTGGTTGGACTCCAGGCGTCCTGCCAGACAGCTCCAGTCTCCCCATCTCTCCACAGAACATGTCCAAATATCAAACATCAACTGTCACCTGATTCTGTCCATCCTTTTACCACAACATCAGAACAGAATTGGCAGGGGAAAGGTTAGAGCACTTTCCACTAAAACACAGTTAACAGCATTAGATTTAAGACTTTAGTAAAAATGCATACCTTGTTAATCCATGTATCATTCGTTCATTTGTTTTTCAAAATAAAAGCAAAATTAAGAAAATGAAAAAAATAACTGTTTCTTCATTATTAGTCTCCAAAACCGAAATGGAAAAAAAAAAAGCATAACAATTTGTTTTTTCAGTTTTCGATTTTGTGTTTAAATGAATAATGGAAAAAAAGGATAACAGCCGTTTCCCGTTTATGTGACTTAAACTGTGATGCCCGACTTTTGCACCACATACGGACTAAACCAAGACTGAACCAGGACTGAACCAGGACTGAACAAGAAGTAAACTGTTTTCAGTCCTGGTCTGGTCCCAGTCTCAGTCCCGGTCTCAATCATGACCCGATCCTGGTCTGGTCCCGACGTCAGTCCTGGTCTCAGTCCTGGTCTCAGTCCTGGTCCTGTTCCAAGTCTCAGTCCTGGTCTCGGTCTCAGTCCCTGTCTCAGTTCTGGTCTGGTCCCGGTCTCCAGTCCGGACTCAGTCTCAGTCTCAGTCCTGGTCCTGGTCCCGGACTCAGTCCTGATCTCAGTCCCAGTCTGGTTCCAGTCTGGCCGGACCTGGTTGAGTCCTGGTTCAGTCCTGGTTCAGTCCGTATGTGGCGCAAAAGTGCTGCATCGAAGTTTAAGTCACAGAAACGGGAAACGGAATCCATTTTTTCCATTATTCATTTAAACACAAAATCAAAAATATAAAACACAAAATCGTTATCCATTTTTCCATTTTGGTTTTGAAGACAATGAAGAAAACAGTTTTTGTTTGTTTGTTTGTTTTCTTATTTTTGGTTTTAGATTGAAAAAAGAATGAATGAATGATACATGGATTCTTCTTTTACCTAGTTTTGTTTTTATACTGGCAAAGTTTATTTCTTTTACTTCCTGAGATTAGATTAGAAGATTACACATACTTTATCTGCCCAAAATGATTTGACCAACAAAAACAGATGGCCACACGTCTATGTTGTTAAATCAACGTTAACTCTGTCAGAAAAATGCTTTCCTTGAGAGTAAATAGTCCCTGTGTTTTGGATGGAATTTTCCACGTTGATGACATAGATAGAGGTAATCATGTTTTAGAAGTCACCGCTACTTCAGTTACTTCTTAACTGATGTAAAACCATGATAAATATTTACTACAGGTACTATCCCACAACTAAAACATCTTTCTTGGGTCTCACCTGAGTAGGTATCTGTGCTCTGAGGATGCTCTGCTCTGTTTCCATGGAGACTCCGGGGGCGACCGTTACCAGGTGTGGGTTGTGGTTGCCGGGGGCGAGGCTGGCGATCCCGGGCGGACTGGAGCCGGACTTCACATCTGAGCCATTACCAAAGGCCAGGATGGCATTTTCTGCACAAAAATAAAAAATAATATTTAAATTTGATTTCTTCTTGCACATTCTTCCAATCCAATCCAACTTTATTTGTATAACACATTTTATAAACAAGACAGTTTCCAAAATGGTCTACATAACATCAGCAGAATTATGTTCCAACCATGACAAAATGAATACAAAAAAAAAAAAAAAAAAAAAAAAATTAATAATAATAATAATAATAATAATAATAATAATAATAATAATAATAATAATAATAATAATAAATGAACAAAAATAATAAAATTAATACATAAACGCAGTACTAAAAAAAAAATTAAAAAAAATAAATGAAAGACCCACACACAAAATAAAATTGTCAAGCTGGCAGTCACATTCATATAGTCCTGGTTGGTGACACATGTTCACTACCACATTTATTATTTCAGAGAGATTTCAGTTTTTCCTTTTTTTTTTTTTTTTGCACAGTAACCCTGATCATTCCAACATTTGAGTATAAAATAGAAGGATGTGTTCTGTGAGGGAGGCAGACAGGAGGTATCACTGTTCCACTGTGTGAATGTAAACACAAAATCCTGCTGTAATGAATTTTAGGATCAGCTCATGTCTGCCTTTGGCTCACACCTCACGCAAGTCTAATCCAAAACTAAATTTAACTTTCTGAAACGGGGGAGACTGGAAAATGAAATTCCGGTTGCAATTTAAAATATTTCCAGTGACTATATGATGGTATTATACGTATCCAAACTGAAAATGTTGAAATATTATATATGTGTGAGGGATTACATCTATGTACATGTATGGCTCCAAACAGACAATGATCCTATATCTGTGTGACTGATTTAAATCGCCACATTTGAAAAGCTAGTGTGAAAAATATCATCTTAGTATATTTGTGCTGCAGAACTTTGTGCAGTGGTGTAGTGAGGATTTTTTAAGTGGGGTACACGATTTGTGACATCATCGATGTGATGAAAACTACCCTCCAACCCGTGTGCACTGGTCATTTTGTCTGCGATCACCTGACAGTCTACGTGGGCGCACCTCTGGGCCCGTCCAGACACTCAGTACTGGTTCAGTTCTGGTTTAGTCCTGGTTTAGTCCTGGTTTAGTGATGGTTCAATCCTGATTCAGTCTTGGTTCAGTTCTGGTTTAGTCATCTTGGTTCATTCCTGGGATCAGTCCTGTTTTAGTCCTGGTTTATACCTCTTTTTAGTCCTGGTTTAGTCCTGGTTCAGTCCTGTTTTAGTCCTGGTTTAGTCCTGTTTTAGTCCTGGTTTGGGCCTGTTTTAGTCCTGTTTTTAGTCCTTTTTAGTCCTGGTTCAGTCCTGTTTTAGTCCTGTTTAGTCCTGATTTAGTCCTGTTTAGTCCTGTTTTAGTCCTGGTTTAGTCCTGTTTTAGTCCTGGTTTTAGTCCTGTTTTAATCCTGGTTCAGTCCTGATTTAGTCCTTTTTTTAGTCCTTTTTTTAATCCTGGTTCAGTCCTGTTTTTAGTCCTGTTTTAGTCCTTTTTTAATCCTGGTTCAGTCCTGATTTTAGTCCTGTTTTAGTCCTGGTTTTTAGTCCTGGTTTAATCCTGTTTTTAGTCCTGTTTTAGTCCTGTTTAGTCCTGGTTCAGTCCTGTTTTAGTCCTGGTTTAGTCCTGGTTCAGTCCTGATTTAGTCCTGGTTTAGTCCTGGTTTTAGTCCTGGTTCAGTCCTGATTTAGTCCTGTTTTAGTCCTGGTTTCAGTCCTGTTTAGTCCTGGTTTAGTCCTGTTTTAGTCCTGGTTTAGTCCTGGTTCAGTCCTGTTTAGTCCTGGTTTAGTCCTGTTCCTTTTAGTCCTGTTTTAGTCCTGATTCAGTCCTGTTTTAGTCCTGCTTTAGTCCTGGTTCAGTCCTGTTTTAGTCCTGGTTCAGTACTGTTTAAGTCCTGGTTTTAGTCCTTTTTTAATCCTGGTTCAGTTCTGGTTTAGTCCTGTTTCAGTCCAGTTTTAGTCCTTGTTTAGTCTTGGTTTCGTCACTCACGCTCTGTCAAATTATGCAACACAAGCACCAGCCCATGTCTCTCCATCTCCTCCTTGTAACCGATACACATTTCTTAATTATTAAACCCTTTATTTGTTTAGATTGCTTCTTATTTGTTTAATTAGTTATTGTTAATGAACTAATTAAAGGTGCTTGATTGTATTGTCTGCATCTGTCCAAAGTTATTTAGTATATTTTTAAGTATTTATAAGCACTTTTCACAACTTTAACAACGCCACAGTAATACTACAACAACAACTAGCATGCAAACAGTACACTTCCTGGTTTTTGGATGCTGTATAATCAGATACAGACAGCGCACAGCGGTTTCGACCTCGATATATCTGTGCAGTTTGCTCGACTTCATGGATAATATTTAATTTCAGGTTCGTATCATGTTCTAGCGGCTCTAGTCCCTCACCTGCAGTCGACCCCCGATCGCAGCGGTGGTCCTGACTCCCACAGAGGACATTGTCATTTGTCCCCGCCCCCCCCTTTTCCTGACTCTCCTCCCCTCTCTTCTGTTCCTCTCCACAATCACATTCAACGTAATTTATAGTCCACCAGGAAGTCCCGCGCTCCCGATCTGATTTCATGGAACGTGATTGATTCGAAAGTGAGGTCGGAATTATGTGAATTATGCAGATGCTTTTCAGATTTTCGTTCGCAGGAAATCCAAGGCCGTGCGCACAAAGGAAAGAGGATGAAAGAGAGAAGAGAGACGGACAGACAGACAGAGAGAGACAGAAAGAGAGAGAGAGATAGAGAAAGAGAGAGACATAGAGAGAGAGAGACAGACAGGCAGAGAGAAAAAAAAGAGACAGAGAGAAACAGACAGAGACAAACAGAGAGAGAGACAGAGAGAGAGACAGAGAGAAACAGAGACAGACAGAGAGAGAAAGAGAGAGAGAGAGAAACAGAGAGAAAGAGAGACAGAAAGAGAGAGAGAGAAAGAAAGAGAGAGAAACAGAGACAGAGAGACAGACAGAGAAACAGAGAGAGAGACAGACACCGAGAAAGCAAGAGAGAACAAAAGAGACAGAGAGAAACAGAGACAAACAGAGAGAAAGACAGACAGAGAGAGACAGAGAGACAGGAAGAAAGAGACAGAGAGAAAGAGAGACGCAGAGAGAGAGAGACAGACAGAGAGACAGACAGAGAGAAAGACAGTGAAAGAGACAGAGAGAGAGACAGACAGAGAGAAAGACAGAGAAAGAGACAGAGAGAGAGAGAGTGAAAGAGACAGAGAGAGAGACAGACAGAGAGAAAGATAGAGAAAGAGACAGAGAGAGAGAGAGAGAGAGTGAAAGAGACAGAGAGAGAGACAGACAGAGAGAAAGACAGAGAAAGAGAGACGCAGAAAGAGAGATAGACAGCGAGAGTGACAGAGACAGACAGAGAGAAAGTGAGAGAAAGAGACAGAGAGAAAGAGAGAGACAAACAGAGAAAAAGACAGAGAGACAGGAAGAAAGAGAGAGAGAGAAAGAGAGACGCAGAGAGAGAGACAGACAAAGAGAAAGCGCGAGAGTGAAAGAGACAGAGAGAGAGAGAGAGAGAGACAGACAGAGAGAAAGACAGAGACAGACAGAGAGAAAGCGCGAGAGTGAAAGAGACAGAGAGACAGACAGAGAGAAAGAAAGACAGAGAAAGAGAGACGCAGAAAGAGAGATAGACAGCGAGAGTGACAGAGACAGAGAGAAAGAGAGAGAGAGAGAGAGAGAAAGAGACATAGAGAGAGAGAGAGAGAGAGAGAGAAAGAGAGACTGTCTGTCTGTCCTCACATGCACATTTGTTCATGAATATTGCGCAAACACTTTTATGAGGATTTAATAATGGTAAATAATCAGCTCATCGTACAAGAGGTAAAAGGTCCAGGACACTGACTTTGTCTTGTTTTTAAATAAGAAGTCTTGAAGGTTTTAACTGCTGAAACTGAATGGACATTAGTGATTAGAGAGTAGTTATTTATAATAATTGAACAACCTAAAAGTCCCACAAAGAAGTAGCCTTAGAGCAAACTGTGTTAAGGAAAACTGAAGAACTTGCACCGGGTTCACACTGTGTGATTTTGTACGATTCTATGTTCCAGATTATTCTCAAACTCAAACTGCAATTGATTGTCATACACATCTTAGGATGGGGACACACACACGGACATATACATTGACATATACACTGACTTGCTGACACTGTGAGGAGCATGAGCCTGAGCAGGGCTGTGTGTCTATCTTTTCATACACACGTTTAATCTCCAAACCTAAGGGTGTAGGTTTGGTCTCAGCTTTGGTGGAGACATTATCAGCTTACCCTCCCATGAAACCAACTGATAGATGACTTGATTAACAGATTAATTATATAATATTGTTGACTTTTCGTATGATGCACATTGCAAAAAACAAACAGCACATCCTTATAAGAAAGGGTAAATGGGATAAGAAGTTACGTTTATGTTTTATGAATTCTTTCCAGAAACACAGAGTCTGGGCAGGTCCAGAATAAGTGAGAGGTGGTTTCATTTTTCAGTTCACAAAATGTACAATTTGTGTCCATTGTCCTTCTAAGATGATTCTTTAGTGGATAACAGCAATGTAGAAGTTTGTATCAGATTTCCCTTTGCCTGTTGGTGATGAGATATTTGTGAAGTAATGTCCAGACATTTTCCATGGAATATTGTCAGTAGAGTCGGGCTGCTCACAGAGCACGAGTAGGGCTCCTTTTGGGAGGTGCACTTGTGGTGATAGTCGCTCTTTTTCCACGGCAAATCATTAAAAGACAAATTTAATTGAAGATGGAGCCAAGTAAGTTCCTTTTGAAAAGTTTTTCAAAGTTCGGTGCAGCGTCTTCACTCACGCCTGCTCAAGCCGCGATCTTCAGGTGCTGGTCCTGTCCTGCCGCTTCCCCAGTTTAGGCTCCTGGCACCACTAATGACATCACTCTGTTGTAGCCAATGAAACAGCGGCAGGAGTAACCGTGTCGTCATATCACTGAATACATCTCAGAACGTCTAATA